GGGATTACAGGTGTACGCCACCACACCCAGTTTAGGATCACTTCTGGAGAGTAAAAACTTTGGTGTCTCCTTTCTTCCTTTACTTTACTCTGGTAAAGGTTTTCCTTTGTAAGTGTCTCTGATTCCCCTGTGTTTCTGGGTCCCAATGAAAGCCTTAAATCCACTCTTTGAGCTGGGCATGGTGGCGCACGTCTGTAATCCCAGCACTCGGAAGGCTGAGGCAGGAGGATCATTGCAAGTTCGAGGCCAACCTGGGTTACAAAGTGAGTTCAAGGACAGCCTGAACTGCATAGTGAAACCTCGTCTCAAAAAGAAAAAAAAAAAAAAATCCACTCTGAGTTTGTGATCAGAGAAAATGATTCAACTGTCTCTTTAAAATTGTGTTATTTGGTTACATGACTAGAGAAGGGAGCCTTCCTTGTTTGTTTCACTTAAAAATGCTTGTGCAAGTCAGGCATGGTGGTCCAGGCCTGTAATCCCAACACTCAGGGAGGCTGAGGCAGGAGAATCACGAATCTGAGCCCAGCCTGAGCAACTTAGTGAGACCTGTCCCCAAGTGAAAAATGGAAAAGGCTGGGGATGTAACGAAGTGCAAAGGCCCTGGGCTCAGTCCCCAAGAAGTATGTGCTGAGTGTAGGACAGGAGTCCCAAACTTAAAGGTAAAGATATATATAGTAATAGTGTAGCAGAGTGATTAAATGTAAGGATGTTGAAATCAAACTACTCAGGGTTCAAACCTAACTCTGACTTTGGACAACTTCTCTGGGCCTTTTTTACCTCATCCATGACATGGGCTTAATAGTACAGTGCATGCATTGAAAAAATGTTATGGGAACAAAATAAAATGACATATAAGTGATCGGAGTAGTGTTTGGCCTGTCATGGGGTCTTAGCAATCATTTGCTGCTGTTACAATGATGGTGATGATGACAGTGACGATGGTGATAGTGTGATGGTTGTGATGATGATGATGATGATGGTGACGAGGGCCAGGAGGAAGGTAAGTGAGGGCTGTAGGAAGCGGAGGTCATAAGCTCTGTCCTCTTGTTAACTGTCAGGGAAAATCAAATCTAATAATTTTCAAGAGAAGCCAGAAATCCACATTCAGTGTGTAGGTGAAATCGCTCCCATTGTTTAAAATACTGACTAATCCAATTTGTGAAAACACTTGTAGGCCAAACAAAATGAGTCAGTTTGCAGTAATAGTCAGAGTGGGAATACAAGGAGGGAAATTGCGCGGGGAGCCTTTCTGTCTCCTGGCTCTCATCAGTCTCCTGGTAACATGGATTCAGAGAGGGGAAGAAGAGTGCAGTGTTTGGGAGGAAATAAAAAAGGCTGGCAACAGGTTGGAGCTGTTCAAGGAAGAAAAGAGGCGGCGCAATGGAACCCTGTCACTCATCAATGAAAGGGTGCTGTGCGCCTTCTGTGACTGGAGTTCTGTGCCAGGCACAATGCTCTTTGGAAGTACAGACACATATGGCAGAGTCCAAGGGACCGTGGAGCTTACAGTCTTGGGAAAACGGAAGAACCTAAAAGATAGGACGGTTTATCTCAGGCCAAACGTGGTGGTGCACGCCTGTAATCCCAGCACTCGGGAGGCTGAGGCAGGAGGATCATTGCAAATTTGAGACCAGCCTGGGCTACAAAATGAGCTCAAGGCCAGCCTGAACTGTATAATAAGACCCTGTCTCAAGAAGACAAAAAAAAAAAAAAAGAAAGACTTTTTCTCTTTTGGACTTATTTGGGCAGTCTACAACTGAATGGCAGGTTTCTTTCCCAAAATGTTGTAGTATTTTAGAGGAGAATCTCTTTATTCCTCTATTCCCACTAGTCATGAAATGATGGGCTTTATTTTGGTTTGGTTTGGTTTGGTTTGGATTTTTGAGGTAGGGTTTGGGTTTAGGGTTTAGGGTTTTGGATTTGTGGTTTAGGTTTTTGAGGTAGGGTTTGACCTTGAACTTGTGATCATCTTGCCTCAGCCTCCTGACTACTAGGATTACAGGTGTGTACTTACCACACCTTGACCAATGATAGGCCTTTTTTTTTTTTTTTTTTTTTTTTTTTTCCGAGACAGGGTCTCACTATGCAGTTCAGGCTGGCCTTGAGCTCACTTTGTAGCCCAGGCTGGTCTGGAACTTGCAACAATCCTCCTGCCTCAGCCTCCCAAGTGCTGGAATTATAGGCATGCGTCACCATGCCCAGCTTGATGGGCCTTTTTTTATTAGAAAAATATTTCAAGAAGCTTAGGCAGGAGGCTAGAAAATCTGAGGCCAGCCTGGGCAACTGAGTAGGACCTTTTCTCAAAACAAAAACTTTAAAAAAGGATTGGGGTTATAGCTCAGTAACAGAGTACTTGCTAGCCTGAGCTAGGCCTGGAGTTCAGTCCCCAACACTGAAAACAGAA